AAAGGGGGGGCGGCGGCGTTGTACTCGTGCCCGCTCGTGCGTTGGGCGCAATTGTAGTGATAATACAGAAAAAGATTGCGATCGACCTCGTCATGGGCGTGGGAGAGCCTGTCCTCCTCACACAAGCCCGACCAAAGCGGATCCGCCACCTCGGCGAAGGCGCGCTCGAAGGCGGGGTGAAGCAAAGAATGCTGGATCGTCCCGATCGCGAGGGATTGGAGTTTCTGCATGAGAAACGCGGTCAACTCGACCACAAAGGTCTCGGACACGCCTTGCTCGACGGCCTCAGCGAGGGGGGCCGGCAGGGCGGCGCTGATCGCCCGCACCTTGCGAATCACCTGCCCGACGTAGTGCACGCAGGTCAAAAGGGGAAAAGGGGCGTCCGCGGTGTGTAGGGTGGGCCACCCCGCGCCGTTCGCGAGGTGGGGGGGCCGCCCTTTATCCCCCGCGGCCCCCTTCGCGAAGTTTGCGACCCACGCAGACGTCGTTGCCAAAGGCGATCCCGGGCTGCAGGGCGCCGCATTCGACCTCTCACCCGTCCCCAACGCGGCCAACAGCCGGTGGAGCTTTTGGGAGTGAAAAGCATACAACGCGGGGATGTAGGCGGTTCGGAAAAGCTCCTTAAACGCCCCCAGGACACTTTTATCCGGGCTTAATAACCGAATCTCCGGCACGCGATCGCCGCAGCGCTTGACGAACTCGGACGCGCACCCGTAGCACGTCAGGACGTTCATCACCGTGAAGACGAACCAACTTTCCAGCCCCGACGCGTGCGAAAGCACCGAGGGGATCATGGCCCCCTCCTTCCCCCCCCGCCATCGCCCTCCCAAAGCGCCAAAGGGTTGGGGGCCTCACTCAAAAGGGTCTGGGATAGGTGTAAATGGGCTTTGCTTCGCTGTAGATTCTCGGCCTGCGCGCGCTGGACGGCGTCGACCAAACTAAACGAAATCCCCCCCACCTCCTCCGTCAGGCGCAGGAGGCCGCTGGCGTTGTAGGTGGACAACAACCGATCCAAATTCGCCTCCTCCGCGGGGGAATTCCCCGCTTCCTTTCGCGGCGGCGGGTTCGCCGCGTTGGGGCTTCGATAACAGGACGACCGCGCGGCCTCGCCGCCGCGATTCGGCCCGTGCGAATCGCACAGAACGCAAAGGAGGAGTTCGACGTGGTAGTTGAGCTGGGACCACAGGGCCTGGAGGTCCCACTGGCGGCGTAGGTCGTTGACCCGCTGGACAAACATCTCACGCACGCCATCCTCGAGATGACCCGCGAGCGATCGACGAACGCGCGAGAGGGCCGCCTCGCGGCTTTGCGCGGGATACTTCCGCGTGAGATCGGCAATACACCCATCGACAAAGTCGATCAGCGTCCTCAAACACGGCGTGCGATCGGCCGAAGCTGGCGTGGGCTCGCGAGGATTGGTAGAAAAAGGAGGGACACCCCCGGGGTCCACCATGGGGTTCGCCTGGAGGAAGTTCGCCAAGGTGAAGCACTCCCTGAGGTGGTCGAGCGCCCACCTGTCGTCCGGCGCCGGGCCTCGGGGCCGCGGGGGCGGTCCG